TTTGCTTCCCCAGTCTGCATGCCAAATATCCTTGGGCAAGATACCAACCCCAAATTGCCCTCCGATGCGTTCATCGGAGTGTGAATGTGTGTGAATGTTTATTAGTTGCACTTGTGTTTAGAAGTGCTTGTATGAGTAGGTGTGAATGGGTGAATGAGGCATGTTGTATAGAGTGCTTTGAGTACTGCGGGAGAGTAGAAAAGTGCTATATAAGAATCAGCCCATTATTTTATTGTGTTAGCCTTTTTGACAATGTGCACTGTGTTAAGTTCGACTTCCTGTTTCATTAGTCAGACTTAGTTCAGTTATATTCTTCCCTGTTTCTAGTCATCTTTATCCAGTGTGTTTAAGCTCTCAGTTTCTTTCCCATGTCTCTGCCAAAAGGAGGCAGGGCCTTGCGGAGCAGTACCCTGTGGTGAGTGAGTTTGACTTTTTCCCTCCAAATCACCACAAGTCGAAACCTACTGTTCAGCAAACCACAAGTACAGCAAAATCTAAGACTGTTTATTATTTGCACTGGGCTGTCAGAAGACTGGTTATTACCAACTTCCATCCATACGAACTGTTCCAGCATCTGAGACTCTCTCCCCGGAATTTGACTTTGAACCTGACCATTTCTCTCCTCCTGTCATTATCTCAAACCTGTGTCTCAGCCTGTTCCTACTCGCAGGACGGCTAGGACCCTGACTTCCCCTGCACCCTTCCAGTTTCCCCGGTGAGGGTGGATAGGGCCCAGCTGGTCCCTGTCCCTGCCGTGGTTCCTTGAGCGGCTAGGGCTTTGCTTGCACCCAGGGCGAGGGCAGCTGAGACCCAGTCCACTCCTGCTCCATATCTGTTCCTTGGGTGGGGATGACTGGTATCCAGCTTGCTCCTGCACCTGTCCCTGTGCCTAGCGTGATGGTGGCCAGGACCTAACCCGTCCCTGCACCCATATCTGCTCCTCAGGTGGGGACGGCAAGGGTTTAGCGAGTTTCTTCACCTATACCATTTCCTAAGGACAGACGGCCCAGCCATCAACATGAGCTCTAGCTGCACCATTCAGACCTTGCTGCTAGCCCTGCTTTGCCTCAACCAGAGGTTTCCCGCACGGGCTGGCCTTGCTCTATCTGCAAAGCTGCGTCACCGGTGACCTCCCAAGCCGCCATTCGCTGTCGCATCACCCTGCCGGTCCACAGTGAAGTGCCGCTGCCTTAGCTTGAAAGTGCTTCATCCTCAGAGCCTGCAGCTCAGTTTGTGTCAACCAACAGTGACCCACTTCCACAGACATCATCACTCAAGGGTGAGCGAAAAGCATTTTTTCCTCTATACCCACCCCGAGTTTAAGTTTACGTGCAGTTTTCTCCGGCTTTGAGGATCTAAGGGCTGTTCTGAGTACTGCCGAACTATCTGAAGCTAAAACTTTTTTTAAACCTGCATTTGAGTGTTTTGATTTGGAGTAAGGAGGTAAGGAAGTAAAATGAATTTATATGGCACTTTTAAAGACAGGAATCTGTTACAAAGTGCTTTACAGGGAACATAAAAACAAAAGCCAGTTATCCATTGCTGAGGTGGCCCATGGTACAAATGTATCCCTTGCTTCTGAGCCAGTTAATAACAATGACATATAACACTGACAGTACAATCGCCTCTCTGTGAAAGCTATAGCTTGATTTTATAATTTATGTGAGGTTACTGTTGCAAGATCCCTGCCATCTGTAACTGTAAAAGAACCTAGCAAGAAGTTTTCGTCTTACTGTATTTGTAGCAAATTGTGAAAATCTGCTGCTTAATCTAATAAAGTGTTTAACAATATACCCTATGTTTTCACCTCTCTATTTGTGTTGCACTGTTCTTCTGCATGCTGAAGATAGCAGGGACAATCCTGGGGCTAAGTATTCCTCCATAAGGATTACCCTCTGGCATGTGTTGCAATGTAAACTGTCAAGGTACGGTTAAGTTTGGTTTTAATGTGCAACAACAAAGCAAAGTATACCACACCTCGATATATTCATCATCTTGATTTATGGAACATCAAAGCAGAATCATCTCTTTGATCCTTCCTACTACTACATTACCAGTAGAAGTAGGGTATATTACCAGTAAATCACTAATTATGTTGTAAAGGAATGACATAAAATATGTTTAAAAGCCACTGTGAAGTCAACAAAATAACAAAAAAATAATAATCAGGATTCTGTTCAACATCAGACGATGACACCTATTATGAACTAAACATCAAATCCATCTAATTAAAGGGCTTACAATAATTAGGCTCTGACCTCTATCCTTCAAGTGCAGTGTCAAAGTGGAAAATCTGTATTTGCTTCCATTACAGAGCCATCAATAAAGCTTTCACAATAACTGCTTTTTTAACCTCCATAGTGTACAGTCACTTAATATACTGAGGTGCTGTTCTGCAACAAAAACATGTTCTTTGCAATTACACTTGAGTCAAAAAGAGATACCTATGTTAAAGGACCTGGACTGAAATCCATATTTCTTTGTCTGACCCTTATTGATATTTTTAAAGAGAGTGTGTAAAATCTCACCACTAGAGGTCAGTAGATTGCAGACTGGAGTCAACTGAATTCTGATTTCTATGGGGGGTGCTGTAGGACAAACAACTCTGGCTGCTGTTCCTCTCTGATGTAAGCTGTCAGTCTGCTGTTTACCTCAGCTATCAATGTGTTCATGTTTATTTACTCTCAATGAGGCTTTGAAAAAAGTATATTATTGAAGGTCACTTCTATCCGTTGACAGTGATACCGAGGTGAGCTTTAAGCATATCCTGATGGGTTTTTTTTGGTTGGTTTGGTTGTTTTTAATTAGGAAAAGGACCAAAAAAAAAAAAAAAACAATACTAATTTGCTAGCTAGTAACTGCATCTGCAGATTTTTCCCCTAATTGGAGACATCATAGTGGCTATGTTAGTCTTACATTTCATGCTGGCTCAAAGTTCTGACGTTGCCAATGAAGAGCAGAAAGGAAGCACATTTCAAAGAAACAGCAACTCAAAAGGCAACTAAAACTTGATTTCAGATTTCCTAATGCATTGCAAAATAGATCGCTCTAAGTAGTTTGTAGAGTCTAGAAAAAAATACAGTATATGCGACAACCTTAAGAGCATTTGTTTCTAAGCAAAACACATCATTATAACACGTGTCACATACCCATTGGGGTCCCGACCCCATAGGCTTTTGAGTCAATGAGGCTTCCAATCTGTGTGAGGTTGCAGTTGCGCTGCGTGACAAATTCGATGGTGGTGGATTCCATGAGGAATGCGTAGTCTGAGGTGAGCACACGGTGAATGCCTTCCTCGACATTCTTCACCATCACAGAGTGCCGCCGACTGCTCATAAACTCCCACATTTTGTCATATGTTGAGATCTTGGTTTTCTGAGGAGACATAGAAGTGTAATGTGAGAAAATAATATTTAACTACTTAAACACAAAGCAATTTATAATTTAGCTAAATGTATTCATTGTAAAAGCCATGTACTGTATGTTTTGATCATCCTAAAGTTGTAACGTTAAATTTAGAGATTCATAAAGAGTTAACGTGTGTGTGTGTGAGTGACATTCATACAATCACACTTTCAAATACTGCCAATGCATGCAATCATCTACTTTCCAAATTTCATTAGGTTTAGCAGAATTTGTTTGGAGCTATAGCAGTACATCATGCTTTCTGCCTGCCTCCGTCAATATCGCTTACGAGTGGAATATAAGTTGAAGCAGACAAGCATGCTAAACAGCAGTGTGAACAGTCTGAATTTGTATGACCATAATGTTCTTCTTTGATGCCCATAAAGCTGATAACACTTACAGGCATAAGCAGCAGCAGGGTACTCTCAGTAGCAGAGCACAGTGCCCAACTTAGTACACCTGTAATCACCATGAAAAGTCCAAGACCACATTACTGTCTGGGGAGGCAGATTTGAAGCCATTTTTGAAGCTATTTGAAAAGTAATTAAGTCACATCTTCAAGGTCCTGCCCGCCATTATTGTGTGTAATGACTTTTTGTGGCTGGTCGATATTTTAGATCAACTGGGTGATTTGTGGAGTGCCTATCAGAATCTTTTGGAGTCACTCTTGACAAATCAGGCAATTGAGCATGCAAGCTTCAGACTGCTGATAAGGTGAGAGCAGTGGCTGTGAATACACAGAGAGTCAGATAACCACCTATACTCTAAGTCAGGCAGACAGCCAAGGTATTTTTCCAAGAGCCTACGCACAGGAATTCAGAGCTGATTTCATTCAAACCATGCGCGAGGGGGTGGGAAGCACAACTAGTGCATACAATGAATAGCTGCCAAACCAAAATAGTTCAAAAGAATCCATCCAGTATGTTACATCCTCATAGTTTAGAAATACTGGATCAAAATCTTATGAAATTCAAAATTACAAGTACAAGCTACCGAAATACTTTGTGCTGGCTGATCCTCTTAAGTCATCACCAGTTTAATAAAGTTTTCATCCACCTGCTTCTGCCATGATGGGAAGGCTAATGCTGTCCTCTTCTTTTATTTCTGCTAAACCCTCAGTGAAACTGATGACACTGAAGGGGCCTTATATTTGTAAATGCTTTAAAATATCCTGGTTCATCCAAATCGTTGCTGTTGAGTTAGTTAGAATTTAGAATGAGTTTTGTATGTTCTTAAATAAAGTCTTAAATTGACAGATTTTCAAAGGTTTATATATACTCATCATGGGTATAATGTCATGGTAATTCTGAGCTTTTAATGATTTCTTTAAACTGTTAAACTGTTCTGTCTGTTCTGGTTCTGTCTCTGTGTTTTGTCTTCTGTCTCTGTACTAAGCTCGTGTGTCTTATTCCTGGTGTCAATGTTAGTTATTTCCTGTTTTGTTTTGTGTGTGTCCTGTGTTTAGTTTTACTTTCTCTTGTCTCGTTAGCCAGTCTGTTCAGCTGTGTTCCCAGGCGTTTCCCATCTCCCTAATCACCTGGTGTGTATATACTGGCTTGTTTTTGTATTTTGTTGTTTCAAGGTACAGAAAGGAAATGACTAGTGTGCAAAAAATCCTTGACCAGTCCCCTAACATAAAAACTGTCAGCCATGCTGGTCACTATAGATGCATGATTAAAGAAGAATCCTCTACTTCTCCAAAGACTTCTCGTTTGTAAAATATGTTAACAGAACCGAGGGAGGAAGACGGTAGACAAGCTCCTTCATGTCACTGCTGTGGTAAATGAGTTCCTTCATAAAGCTGCTGCAGGATATCTGCTCCTCTTTGCAGCCATGGCCAGTGGGTTGAAGCTTCCTCTGCTTCCGCTTTCCAGGTTTTCTTGATCACCTCTTCTCAGTGGTCTTCAGGCCAGTGCTGTCCACACCACCCAAACCAGTGGGGTCCGAGCCATCTGAGCCAGTTGGTCCTGTTTGGCCTGAGGTCGAGGGTCCCTTGTAAGCTGAACCCAAGCCATAGGGTCTCTATCTTCTCTTCCAATTCGTTGACCACTGGCTTTGCTTTCTGAGGAGTCTCCGTCAATACCAGCCTCCAATTAATCATCTTTGCAGCAAGATAAGCCACATCTCTTCAGTTGCCCCTTCCCAGGGTTCCTTCATTTTATTCATTCTTCATTCCCCTGGCCGATTCCCTGAATTTATTTTTCCTCCTGAATTGCTTCATCTCAGTTTTTGGACTCCTGGCAGACTTCCTGAATGGTTTTGCCTGCACTGGCCTCTGCCTCTAGACCTCAATACTGTACATGACTGGGCCAACCTCCTCTCTGACTGTCCTTTGGCCGGGCCAGCCACTGGTCTGTTTTCTGTTTTGTTTGGACTCTTTTTGTTTTTGTTTCTGTTTCTTCTGCATACCAAGTATGCTTGAGCAAGACACGGAATCTCAAGTTGCTCTCCGATGCATCCAGAGTATCAATGTGTGTGAATTAGAAATAGAAAGCACTTAAGCATGGAAATTTGAAAGGCTTCTATAAATGGGTGAATGATGCATGTTGTGCTTTGAGTCAGGAAAATCAAGTAGAGTAGAACAGCTATATATATAAAAAAAAAGGTAAACTAGGCCATTTTTTTAAATTAGCTCCAGGGGTTAGAAGATGAAGATTATGTAGACATACCAAGGTGAAGTCAGAAGGTTCTCTGTGATAAATGTTGCCTTCGACACTATTTTTGATGTCTCCTGTCAAGACACGTCATGTTGAGAATGGTGTGGTCTACTCCTTTAAAAGCAGCAGTACATCTCAGTCAAAGGTCCTCAAGGTAATTAGGTCTTCAAAGTTCAAATTTGGTACTATGGGCAGTTTCATGCCCAGAATGCTATGACCATCTATAAAGGACTTTAGTTGTAAAAGGAATTATGATTTTCCCTAAAATTGTGGAGATGAATAGACGTTTTAAAATAGATCTAAATACAGAGTGAACTAAAGCATTAAACGTTTTTTAATTTAATCAGTGAGAGTACCAAAGCTTGTTGATTCAATTCAGTTTTATTTATACAGCGCCAAATCACCACAACAATCACCTCAAGGTAAACTCTACAATAATACAAAAAACCCACAAAACCCCAATAATCATTTGACCCCCTGTGAGCCAGTGTTTTGGTAACAGTGGGAAGGAAAAACTCCCTTTCCACGGCATAAATGGAACAGCCTGCAAAGAGCTGGCTGCCAGTCGGTGGTAGACTGCTGCCTACTGGGAGTCTGCACTTTTTCTTTTTGGCTTGCCTCATGGAGACATGCTTGCATAAACCAATGGATTATAACAATGGATAACATCAAACCCATATTTTAGCACCTGCTGTTGGACTGCAAGGTAAGTAAAACCTTTTTTATTCCTTAATTTATGTTTAGGACTATGTCTCTTGTAGTTATTAACTTAGGCTATCACCTTACAACACTAACAGAGCAGTTAACAGTAGTTTAGTAGCTAACAATACTTAGAGTTGTCATAAAAACTAAGTTTTTACTTTTATAAAAACTAAGGTTTTATAAAAATAAGGTTGTCATAAAATAAACTGGCCATTATTATCGTAAATATGTATAGAGAACTAGATGAGGTTAGTTCTACTTTAAATAAGACATTAAATATATTTTATATATGTGTATATACAGTACTGTGCAAAAGTTTTAGGCAGGTGAGAAAAATGCTGTAAACAAAAAAAATGCTTTCAAAAATATGACTGTTAATCATTTATTTTTAATCAATCAACAAAATGCAGTGAATGAACAAAAGAGAAATCTAAATCAAATTAATGTTTGGTGTGACCTCCCTTTGGCTTCAAAAAAGCATCAATTCTTCCAGGTACACAGTCAGCCAAGACTACATAACTAGGCACTGCCTGGATTGATTACAAGAAGGCGTATGACTCGATGCCCCACACCTGGATCCTGGAATGCCTAGACCTATACAATACCAACAGAACCCTGAGAGCCTTCATCAGGAACTCAATGGGGATGTGGTGGACAGCATGCTAGGCCAACTTCAAGCCCATAGCACAAGTCACCATCAAGTGCGGGATCTACCAAGCAGATGCTCTGTCCCCACTGCTGTTCTGCATAGGCCTGAACCCCCTCAGTGAGATCATTAACAAGACTGGCTACTAATGTTCCCTCTAATTTTTCACGTGTCTGAGCAACACACAAACTCCCTGAGCGTCCCTTTGACCACCGTGAGCGACATCAGACGTGTGCGCTGTGGTCACGCCGGCATCTCATCCATCCAAGTTACATGATTTATTAAAATAATCGAATTACAGCCTTTACATTTATGTTAGACTACTTTTAATTAACTGCTTTAGTCCACTTACAATAAAAATTTATAAATAAATCTTGTTCATGAGCTGTGTAGCATGTTAACACTATTGGAAGTAAAAATAACTTGAACTCCAATTTTGAAAAACAAAACTTACTTTTTTTTAATTATTTTTTATAAAGCTCTGACTTGTATTATGAGTCTGTGGTCTGGGAGAGAGTCTGTAACTCTCTGTCTGCAAACTACAATATTTAATGACCAATGTTGGGCAATTAATTATATAGTTACTTCTTCAAAAAAGTAACTGACTTTGGCAAACAACAAAGTTTTTTGCAGCTATTTTTTTAAACGCCAAGGCGTTTTTTTAAATAAACATTTCAAACTATTTACAGAACAATCAGCTGTTCTGCATCAAATCTGATGCCACACAAATTATTTGTGCCACTCCAAAAAATAATTTGTGTCCACTATGAGATGAAGGAGAACAACAGCCTGATACCTGCAGGCCTGACAGCAGCAGATGCATCACTGCTGTAACACCTGTAACACTCAGCAGTCGCCTCATTGTTCTGACACACACAACAAAACTATTGACTCATTTAACTACTGATTTTATCTGTTTTGATTTATATACTGTTTTGTTTGTTTGTTTGTTTGTTTGTTTGTTT